TATTAACTGTTCCGTAGTTAAACATGTTAAGTGGTCCTGCATCCACATGTTTTGCAGGAACAGCCTCTGCATTTCAGCTTAGATTTTTTTAGTCATTGCTGCATATGATAGGTAACTTCTTGAGTTGATCCGCAGGCACAAAAAATATTTGGAAACAGATGGACTGAAATTGCAAAGGTTGTTTCAGGCAGGTATACGAGTTTTTGCATGCCCCTCTTCTCTCTACTCACACATTTTTGTATGATTTAACGCTTATAATATCCTTCTTTCAAAAATATGCTACTTCTGCAGAACGGATAATGCTGTGAAGAACCGCTTCTCCACTTTGTGCAAGAAGAGAGCAAAATACGAGGCTTTAGCGAAAGAGAACAAAAACTCGCATATCAACTTAAATAACAAAAGAATCATATTACATGATGGGTTCAACACAGATGGAGCACCAGAAAATGATCCCCCAATTAAGAAGATAAGGTACAATGGAGTTTTGGTATCAGCAGACAATAGCGAGTGGGAAAGTATTTAGCATAGTTAACCTCATGTTTGTTCAAATGCAGGAAGTCCCACATCCCTAGTCTTGCAGGAAGTTGCAACTTTGGAGACAGATCACACCCACAACGTGGAAATCAGCAACCTAGACCTCCATTTGCTGTGTTGGCCCAAAACTTTCACAATGTTAACATGTCTGCTCAGCATCATGTCAGCAGTGTCAAGGAGGTCCCCATTGACGGTAAAACACCTCAAACAAAGACTTTACAATTAGGACGTGGTTTGTGTTTCCTTTTTAAAAAATAAAATCTTGGGAGGAGTCTCAAACAACAGAAAAGGACTTGCACCCTACACAAACAGGGTAGAAATACCCCTGCTTCATCCTGCCCGATGCAAAAAAAGAAGCCTTCATTAGCTAGCCAATCCGCACATGAATTTCGTTAACATGTATGACTAATCCTGATCCTCCAATTCCTTTGTTGAAATAAAAAAATTCCTGGACAATGGGATCAGTCGCCAAATTGCTGCCTTTTCCGTTAACAGCTTTGAACACTACCTCTGAATCTACTTCCACTTCCACTTTCTTATACCCCTTCTGCCATGCAAGGTCCAGCCCCATGTAAACTCCCACAATTCAGCTTTCAAAGCATTAGATTATTCAGCTTTGCAAAATTTGAGGACACAATATGGGCTTTATGACAGAAAATACCGTGCATAATTTATCATCTTTACCAATTTAGTTTGTGTTGATTTTTTATTATTCTGTGTCATAAATCTTTGAACTTCTTCAATAGTCTCTTTACTTGCTCTTCATTTAGCAGTTCAAAGCAGTAGGATTCAAGGAACATTTCTAAAAAAGGATGATCCAAAGATAACTGCTCTAATGCAACAAGCAGAGCTTCTCAGCTCACTTTCACTGAAAGTTAGTGAAGAAAATACAGACCAGAGTCTGGAAAATGCTTGGAAGGTGAGCTTTTGTTTTCGAAACCCAAATATTCAATGCACTTGACCACTTGTCCAGGTGCGGTTTTTCAATTTGACCTTCAGTGTTATTGAGAAAAGCATAATTATCCTATCAAAATGGTAGTTGAAGTGATTATGTTGATCCTACAGACTTAAGCATAACAATACACCAAGTATATTCCTCCTTGACTCTTATCATGCACACAGATTTTGTTCCTGCTCTAATATGTTTATAAAACATGACATTCAGGTTCTCCAAGATTTCCTGAACCGGAGCAAAGAAAATGATCTATTTGGACAAAAAATCTGTGACATTGATTTTAAAATTGAAGATTTTAAAGACTTGATAGAAGATCTAAGGATTAGCAATGATGGAAGTCAACCATCTTGGAGGTAATAGAAATAGGGAAGTTTAATGTTGGGGATTGAGCATGTTTTACTCGTCATAGAGTGTCTAATATATGATTAAAATGCTGTAGACAACCTGGTTTATACGAGGAGTCTCCGTCAAGTTCTGAATACAGTACAGGGTCAACTCATTTGCCATTCACAGCCCCGGATAAAACAGAACAAACTCAAGCCGGTGTACTGCATAAGGATATTGAAATTGAATTGCAAATGGTTCATATTGATGAGGGAAATTTTGTGGGTGCATGTGACAAAGAAATTATTTCCAGTGCAAATATAACCCAAGGTGAGGGATTTTCATGCCTGACAGAGTGGCTTTCTTTCTTTTCACGTGGAGGGTGGAATACCTTAAAAGTACATCTTCTGATTAATCTCAATTTACTGCAGTGGAGATGTTTCCATCCTGTGATGAGCAAACAAAAAATGACATAATTGTTTCTGCTTCATCAGGCACAGAGTTCAGTTCTCCTCTTCAAGTTACTCCGATTTTCAGATCCTTGGCAGCAGGAATTCCCAGCCCAAAATTTTCAGAGAGTGTAAGTCAACTTTGACCATCAATTCTACCGACTATTAATCCATTAGTTCTAATTACGTGGTGTATGCTAGAGAAACTATCCCTTATTGCTGCTAGCAGGAGGAACTGTCAGTTTAACTGTTATGCCTTAGTCTCATATGGCTCTCTGGTCAGAGCTCACCACTAGGCAACATCATTAAAACTACAAATGATTGTGAATAGTTGCACCAGATTTAGCTGTAGAAGTAGTGCAATTTGATTCTAAATTACCACTGATTTTTTGGGGTAATAGTAACAAGAAGTAGAGGATTGGTGATCATCAAATCACCTGCAGCAATTTTTATTTCATGAAGACTTTAATAAAGCTACAATCTAAAATCTAGAAGGGACTAGCAATTCATACTATTGTAGGACTTTGAGTTCCTGTTGTCGTTGAAGCATTAGTGATAGCATTGGGTGTGATAGCACTTGGTGTGCTAGCTAAGTATCCATCATTAATTAGAAATTTGTGATGATTATCACGACTTGAAGAGTAGGTGCCAAGCAATTAAGCTAGCAGGAGATGATGTTCCTCTGAAAGTGCTGAACATGAATTCAATCACTAAAACTGTTGGATAACTACTGGTTGTGCAGATGACAAACATAGCAGTAGCAGCTGTTGCATGTATAACTATTCCAATTAGATTTATGAATTCCATTTATCTCATAACCTGGATTCATTTTTAATCATTAACACTGCTCAAGTCAACTTTTCTAATTGTCAATTTAACCTGAAGCCGAAGTTAAGAATGCATGGACACAATTAGTTATACAAAAAACTTGCAAGCTTCCACAAACCTCGAAAGATTAAAGGCTGTTAAGGTTGCAACAACCGCTGCTGAAATACTTTTTGTTGATAAAATTAAAGGATAAATATGCTTTAGATTTATATAATGCTATAATGCAAGCCTCTGGCCCAGTAATCTCACACTTCCAAAACATACGCACACTACATACCAAATCTGCAATCTGAATGCATATCGAATATTATTGTGAAGCACATGCATGCCTGACACATTGTGTTTCCTTTCAAGTTACTTCCCTACATAATGTCGGCTCTAGTCGTGGGTTAAGTTTGTGACATTATTTGTAAGAGGTGAGATATTAAACCAAAAGGTTGACTAAACAATCAGATGAATAAATTATGTTTGAACAACTACGAAATTGCCTGTCTAATTCTTTATGTCATAACTGCTATCTGAGCAAATTATTCCCTAGAGTAGCCTGTCCAATTCCATATATTCACTAGGAAGCTCAACTAGATTGTTTTGTTTGAGATGCTAAAAATGCTTTGATTGGACCATTACACACTGATGTAAGAGGCTAATGTACTCCTTTTGAGAATAGTATTTTCCTCCTGTCAGTCAATCTAGGTTGATCGTAATGTATGCTTCTGCAGAATGAATGGTCAGTGGGCAAGACTGCAAACTGGATTCCAAGAATGCCCACGCCTCTACAAAATCATCCCCATCTCTTTAGTACTTAAGGGTCACTTATAAGAAAGATTCATGAGATTTCCTTTCTGAGATCAGCATGTGGATCGCGTGGAGTTAATTGCCAAATGCAGCCATAGATGTCTTCTTGTGTTCATTGCATCGTGTTTTCTTTCTTCTTCTTCTTCTGCTTCTTTTTTTTTGGAACAAGCATCATCTTTCAAAATTTGATGTGAGGCTAACCACTTCTTTTGGCATTTTTTTCTTTCCAGGAGAGAAACTTCCTACTAAAAACACTTGGAGTGGAATCTCCTTGTCCCAATCCAGGCATCAATCCTTCACAACCACCACTCTGCAAAAGAGCCCTTCTGCAAAGTCTATAGCAAACCTCTCTGATATATCTGATATAAAGAACATGGTCTAGCCAGTCATATCTGGTCTTTAATTGCCTGGGACCGTATAACATTTATTGAGTTGTGTCTTCTCTTGTTTACTATCAGTTCCTCGTATTGCAGCTATCATGGCCTGAAGTTTTATAAAGAGGCATATTATCTGCATTCGAAGACAGGACACCCCGTGCTGGAATGTTGCGGTGCATTCTAGCAACTCGGACACATCTAACAACGTGATCTGAGGTCGGTTTTATTTTTGCCTACTAGAAGAGTACTACCCTAATACTCACATAAAAACCAGTGTGCTTGTTAATGAGTGTCATTCTTTTGTTTGTCTTGATTTGTTTTCGAGTGTTCTATCTTCTCATCCAGTTTTTGGCATTTGATTTTGCCATCTGTACAGACCCTTCTATGTAAGTCCGTAGTCGGAGTGTAATTATATACAGGCAACTCGCCTACATATGATTAAAGAAAGGGAAAAGAAAAAAAAAAGAAAAGAGTAAAGGAGGATTAACCAGCTGATTGGATTCCTATTTTTTTTGTTTTTGGGTGTGCTAAGGGTATAGAATAAGTTTTCTGTATTTCTGTTTCCTAATGTAGTAACTATAACTTGTGTGATCGCAATGGAAATTGTTCTAGTTTTTGTGTGCATGTCTCATTTTGTCTGTTTCCTCTTCTTTGAATCATTGCATTTGCCAACTCTAACCAGACTCTACAGAAAGATGTGTGACCATTTTGCATCAGAAAGAGTAGGAAGTAAACAGAAGCTCTAAAATGAAGATTTCAGTATTTCTCGACCTTCATAGTTCTTCTGGGCAACAAAAAAACGCAAAGAAAAGGCCACCATAGATAAAAGGAGAATCAGGATACCTAAATGGCTCACGTTATTGCAGTTTCTTCTGCCCTCTCCATTCCTGTCATGAACCAGAGAAAATGCCACCATAGATAAAAGGAGAATCATGATACCTAAATGACTCACATTATTGCAGCTTCTTCTGCCCTCTCCATTCCTGTCATGAACCAGAGATCCCCTTCTTTCCTGACAAAATGCTAGAAACAGGGGAGGAGGAGAAAAGCAAAGGAAATGTAGATGTTCTTACCCACATTGGATGGAAAAGCAACTCGTGTCGATGTTGTAGCATCAAAGAAAGCCTCCAGATCTCCATGGATTTTCTGAGTTTGTTCTCCTTGAGTTGTGTCGTGAGAAAGAATGGTCCTAAGGATTCTGTTATATTTTGTACGGGGGTCTCATGGTGGTGGTGGACATCTGGAAACATGTAATAATGACCAAAGCAAAAGCTACAAGCAAAGATGGTTAAAAGATGAAGAGGGAACCTCATACAAAATAAAGTGCACTCATTGGCTATAACTTTCTCGAGAGAAGATTTAGTTGACTATTTTGACCACTTAAATTCAAATAGGATCGTGATCTTCATATCAAGGATGAACTGCCTGATTTTTCCGCTTCCCTGCTGAACCCACGGTAGCTTTGTCCCGCTTGTTTTGTTGTTGGAAAGTGTTTTTATTTAAAAAATTTTTAATTTATTTTTAGATTATTTTAATATACTATGTATTTAAAATAAAATTTAAAAAATAATCATTAAAACAGTATGAAACGAAATCTAAGACTTGGCAGCAACACAACGAAGAATGTGGAAAAGGAAACCCACACGCTGGCTAATGTCTGGTAAAACCATTTCTTATCCTGTTCGAACGGCGGCTCGTGCCATTCATGTAGGTGCAATCATCGCCTAAGCTGGTCTAGTGGACTAAGTCTAACTGAGAAGGCATCTGTTGTACAAAATACTAGTTTCCTTATGCTTTGTACTTTTATCGGTCGACCACATATTCAATATTTTCCATTAATATTTAATAATTTTACTAGTTTTATTTTTTTTTTAAAATTCAGTTTTTTGGGATTAAATTAAATGTTTGATGCTAAAAAATTAATTAATTTTATATAATGTTTGATAATCCGTCAATTAAAATAGTTAATAACATAAATGTGAATTGTCGTAAATGAATATACAAGAATTTATAAAATATTTATTATTAGAAAAACTACATGGTTTTTTTATTACCATAGTTAGAAATGAAAACAATATTTCTTCAAGTTTTTACAAGAATATCTCTTATTTTCCTTTTTAGAAACAAAAACGAAAAAGAAAAAGGTAATGAGAGCTTCATTTTTTTCACAATCCTTGTGAATAGTTTTCCTAATAAAAAAATTATTCAAAATCTTTATTTTAAAAATAAATTTAGTTTGATCATAAAATAAATATTAAAATAGAAATACAATACTAAATAATACTATCCTTTTCTAAGTTCTATTTGTTTACATTTTAAAATATGTTTATAACTTAATTTTTTTCATCACTTTTATATTCTTTTCCAATTTTTCCTTTTTTCCTTTTGTCTCAACAAATTTTTTCTTCCTTTCTTTGTTCTTCCTTCGCCATGGAATTTGTCTTCTTCGGAAAAAAAATTTGTTTTTTTTTTTTTAAAAAAATTGATCTTTTTATAACATTCACACAAAAACTTAAGATAGTTGTCATATCCAAATTGAAATAACTCATCATAAATCAATTATTTTTATTAAAATATCTTTTAAATTTTTTTATTGATGTTGACTCAATTAAATTTAAACATAAAATTATTAAAACATTAACTAGACTAACCATGTCAATATCTAATTCAGTTCAAAAAAATCTAGCCCGGGTTGCACTGTGTACTCAGTTTAAGTTTATCGGGTCTCGAGCCGAGCATAATTAACGTCAATGGTATAAAAAAATTAACAAGTCTTTCAGGAAAACCACATGTAATAATCAGAACCAACATATCCAAAAAAGACTGCCGAGAGAATGAGGCAATCAATTTCACATCAATCCAACACTTCGAAAGTTCGAAGGAGAATCATGGAAGGAAGGTGCAGAAAGCTGAAGATTTTGACACGCGGAGAACCTCTTTGTGGTCAAAGTGTACCCCTAACGCCATCTTAAGAAAATCATTCCTGAAAATGGGATTTGGATTGACTATTCGAGAACGGATAGGCTGCCATCTGCACAAGCAGATGTATCCCTGACTTCCGATCATGTTCAAGTATGACCTGTCTGAATTGGAAAATGATCAAGGAGCTATGTAATGCATTTGTGTAGTAATTCAGACCAACTACAGCAGTATAGACAATAAGCAAAGCATAAAGAAATGGATATTCATTAAATCCAACAAACTTGCGGAACTAAAACAACTTTCCACCTGCAAAGTTACAGTTCCAATTGCCAATTCTAAGCCATCCCACAGTACAAGAGAAGCCTGAACAAGCCATTCCTTTAAGCGAGATATCGATACAGTTTTCTGTCCACACTGTCCCTCTCCAAGAAATCCCGTTCAATAAGGGATTCAATCCGTTTCTTAATTTCTGTGGGGTTCGCTAGGAAACGTGACTGCAACTGCTTTGTGACCTCAGTGATTATATTGTTGTGATCCAATACCCTCCTTGACTTCATAATCCTAACTACTGCAGCTTCTATCTGAGGCTTTCGGTCCTCCTCTACTCTCTGCCGAGTCTCCTGCTTTTCAGGTTCTGATTCCTTTTGCGCAACTACAGTTCCTATCTTCACCTTATAGAATTTGCTTGTGAATTTGTCATTAACAAAAAAAACATCTTCCTCACCAATGTCTTTACTCATGGGTTCTTTGCGAAGAACATTCTTTCCCTTCACACAAGCCATGGATTGCAAGCACCTCTTCAAGTCTGCTGCAGGAATCTCAGTTGCCTGCTCAATCTCTTTGTAGCCAAGTCTATCAGCTTTATTAAACAGCATGAGAACGCACATCTGGTAAGTGGAGACATTCAATTCATGCTTCTGACCCTTCCCGAAGATTGCCTTAATGTCCGCTGTGCCCATGTTAGTTTGCCATGACAATCTCCGACCAGTGTGGGTCCCAAGGTAATATGACCTGAACTTCTCACATAATGCTGACATTTCTGCAGGCAAGTTGCATGGAACACCAGGTTGGGTGGGCCAAGACCCTGTTGTCAAAACCTGGACAACCAGTGTTGGTCCATCCCCCAGCTCAGGGTGGCTTGCATAAAAACCTTGCATTGTATCCTGGGAGGTTTTCATGTCTGTAAACATGCCTTCTAATTTTGAAGTGAACTGGTAACCACATTCTGTTTTAAGTTTGACTATCAGACTTCTCTCTGCATCATCAGAGACTGTTTTCCCTGACAGCAGCCGCTTAGCCAAATGCTGCTTGTAATACTTTTCAAACACGTCTTTCTCCTGCAAATAGCGGAATAGCATCATCACCTTGTCAAGAATGATCTCCACATCCTCCTCACTAACTCCTTTTAGACCTTTGCGAAGTTTGTCATCCACAAACAGTGAAATGAACTCCGGAGAACGAGTATTCAAGTTAATGAAATATTCAAAAGAAGAGTTCAGAGCATTCTGGAATGTCTTGTCATTGTTAAATGCATTGCTTATGATGCTATCGTACTTATCTTTTTCATTCAACAGACACTGAACAAACTCCACTGGATCCTTCAGCCTTTCTGGATCAATAACAAGTTGCTTGCCAGTCTCCCTAAGGTGAGAAGTCATCACTTCTCTTATTGTTGAAAGACCATCAGGAACCCGGCGGAACAGGTTGTACATCCGTCCCAAGTCATCAAATTTATCATCAAGAAGCATATTTACCAAGCCTGAATTCTCCATGTGGACTAATCTCAGCATGTGATTAGCAATCATCTCCTTCTCCACCACATTATTTATCCTGACTTCACTCTTGGAATCCAAATAATGGGTCACTCTCTCTATCTCTTCATTTAAACGTTTCTCAGCTTTCTTTAGATAATCACCACAATCACAGCACTCAATGAACTTCTGAGATTCGCCACTGTAAAACTCAGCAGAAACCTCAAGAAATGGCTTCTCAAAGTCTTCTTGGTAAACAGAAGAACCTAAATCCATTAGCATCTTGACAATGTTCCTCATCAAACCTCGGTCAATAACTTCACCAGTCCGTTCCCTGTGAACCAGTTCAAGAAGCGTATTTTGAAGCCTTGTCTGAATTTTGCTGGAATGTATTATGTTATCCCTCCACAAGTTAAGCCCAAGTTCATGAACAGGGGTTTTATGCACACTTGGGATGTACGTCCTGTCCATATACATCAATATGTCTCTGATCATTTGCAATGCTTTGTTATGATCGTTCCATTTCCTGTTCAGCTCCTCCAAAAATGAATCTCCCTGAGCAGCCTCAATAGATTTTGATATTTCTTTTAGATGTGAAGTCATAGTCGCAACCAGACCATTATACAACTTCTCACCAAATTTGTGTAGCACCATATTGTAGGCGTTCCTGAAACCATAAAAAACAGTGTTACTTCAAACACAAGATATGTATTATAATGGCCATGGTTTTGACAAGATAACCAGCCAAACATCTAAGAACTAGGAAAAATAAAATCTATTGAGGGGGCTTTTTTTCCCGGAAAGTGGTTTCTCATGGTTGGTTTCCAGGAAACCACTTTCCGAATTTTCTTGTGTTTGTTTGCTATTAGAAAAGTTGGTCAACAGAATACACTTTCCGGTCAACGGAAAACATTTTCCAATCAAAGAAAAATTTAGCTTGATTTCCAGGAAAGCGTTTTTCTTTTATTTTAGTGGAAAGCACTTTCCGGAAGTTGTGAAAAATTTAAAAATGTCATATTATTTACTGATTATATCAAATTTAAGCCTCAATCTTTTGATATATATATATATTGTTTTGAATATTTATTTTTCAATTTTATCCCTTAGAATTTAATTTTTATATTAACTTTGATCCTTATTTTTATAATTGTTATTTGCTTTTCTCTTATTATTTTTTTATTGAAATTTTTTTCTATCAAATTTGATCCTCATTCTTTTGATTGTTACTTGTTTTATTTGAAATAATTTATGAAATGTTAATTATTAATATTTTAATTTCATCATTTTTTATATTTGATCTCTATTATTTTTATTATTATTTATTTTATTCTAGATAATTTATGAAATTATATTGTTTTTTTTAAATTTCATTCTAATTCAACTTTTTAATTTATAAAATTTGTTCCTCATTATTTTAATAAATTTGAAAAAAATAAAGCATTAATAAGTTCACTTTCCAAAAGAAAACTACTTTCCAGCAAACAAACGGGGCCTAAATTTGAGTAGACTCGGACAAAATCATAGGAAGCAGAAATATCCAAAATAGATAGTCTCTTATACAAGTAAGGGTTAACTAAGAAAAAGAGAGAACAATTATAAAAGTACCTATTTTATACATGTTCTGAGCGTTTCTGATTTTAAAACAAAATAAACGAAAAGGATAAGACAAAGGAGTTTGAGAAAACATCTCAAGAAGATGCCCACTTTATATATTG